AGCAAAATTAAAAAAAAGAGGTGAGCCATACTATGGAAGCCTTGAATAGCAGATTAAGAACATTGACCTTCTTCTACAGGCTGTGGAAAAGCCCTGAAGATTTGGAGTTCAGGGGCACAGGAAGAAAGGGAGAAATTTAGGAATATTTGTCCAACAGCAGTGTTAGGATGAAGTGGAAAGTGGGAAAGAAACCAGTTAGAAGCAGCATGTTCTCAAGCGCGTGCTTTAAAAATGTTTCAAAGGAAAAACAATCATTTCTTTGGAAGAGGGTAGAGTTCATATCTCCACGTATGAGAGCGCAAAGAGAAAAATCGAACGGAGAAACAAGTTTAAGGTAAAAGCAATTGATGTGACAAGGATAACAAAATGTTTTCCGTGGCCAGGGAAACAGAGCCACCTGCCATGACTTGTGGATGTCCTTCTTTGTCCCTTCTCTTTGTACATATATTCTGACTTACACGCAGCCTGTTCCTTTGTCTGCAGATCCATAACTGTCGTTCAGCTCACTGTGGTGTGTATCCTGCGAAGTCAGGGAGTAGAGGAGAAGTAGCTAAGACACAGAAAACTCATAGACTTCTTGTAATCTGCCATCGTTATGTGTAAATCTATACAACTTCAGCATGACGGACCTTGACCACACACAGGAACTGGGATGCAGGTTGACAGTAAGGGTGGCTATCTCTTACTCAACAGAAATATGATGTTTACCTGCTCTTTAGTTTGTGCTATAATTCACCTGCTTTGGGTCCACCCATGAGTATCTTTCATTTCTAAGCAGGACAATTTTTTAAAAATTGAAGTATAGTTAATTTACAATGTTGTGTTAGTTTCAAGTGTACAGCAAAGTGCTTCATTTAGACATATACATACATTCTTTTTCAAATTCTTTGCCATTATAGGTTATTACAAGATATTGAATATAGTTCCCTGTGCTATACAGTAGGTTCTTGTTGTTTACTTGTGTTATATGTAGTAGTGTGTATCTGTTAATCCCAAACTCCTAATTTGTCCCCCCCACCCCCGACTTTCCCCTTTGGTAACCATAAGTTTGTTTTCTATGTCTGTGAATTTGTTTGTTTTGTAAATAAGTTCATTTGTACTATTTTTTAGATTCCACATATAAGTGATATCACATGGTATTTGTCTTTCTCTTTCTGGCTTACTTCACTCAGTATGATAATCTCTAGGTGCATCCATGTTGCTGAAAATGGCATTACTTCATTCTTTTTTATGGCTGAGCAATATTCCAGTGTGTGTGTGTGTGTGTGTGTGTGTGTGTGTGTGTGTGTGTACATATATATATATATATATATCTTACATCTTCTTTATCCATTCATCTGTCGATGGGTGTTTAGGTTGTTTCCATATCTTGGCTATTGTAAATAGTGCTGCTATGAACATAGGGGTGCATGTATATTTTCAGATTATAGCTTTGTCTGGATATATTGCCCAGGAGTGGGATTGCTGGATCCTATGGTAGTTCTGTTTTTAGTTTTTTAAGGAACTTCCATGCTGTTCTCCATAGTGGCTGCACCAATTTACATTCCCACCAACAGCGTAGGAGGGTTCCCTTTTCTCCACACCCTCTCCACCATTTGTTATTTGTAGACTTTTTCATGACGGCCATTCTGACTGGTGTGAGGTGATACCTCATTGTAGGTTTGGTTTTTTTTTTGCGGTACGCGGGCCTTTCACTGCTGTGGCCTCTCCCGCTGTGGAGCACAGGCTCCGGACGCGCAGGTTCAGCGGCCATGGCTCACGGGCCCAGCCGCTCCGCGGCATGTGGGATCTTCCCGGACCGGGGCACGAACCCGTGTCCCCTGCATTGGCAGGCGGACTCTCAACCACTGCACCACCAGGGAAGCCCACCTCACTGTAGTTTTGATTTACACTTTTCTAATAATTAGTGATGTTGAGCATCTTTTCATGTGCCTGTAGGCCATCTATAGGTATGACGATTTTAAAAAATGGATTCAATGAGCTGTCTTGCATTTTCCCAGGTGATGTTCCTTGGATTGATGGGTTTATTGAGGGCAGATGGAGAGACTCTTGGTGAACAGCGCAGAGCCGAGAAGGCCTTCTAAACTTTACAGTCCTCACCTGAATCCAGACGTGAACCTGTTCCATTTCTAATGCCGCAACCGGGTTTTCTTAATTGCATGGAGGTATTTTTCTTACCCTGATCACAGCGTTTGCCTCAAATCTCATATAGCCCAGCGTGTTCTTGCTGCTCTGAAAGTCTCCTGCTTTGTGAGCTATGAGGTTTGGTGCATTGGGACTACCTGTGCACACTGCATTCACTTAAAAAGGGAAAACCTTTTCAAACAGCTCCAGCTATAGAAATTCAATTTAGTTTATTTAGGAGGAAATGAGAAACTTGCATTGTAGGTGTGGAGTCTTAATTGTTCTGACTGGTAAGAGCATGTTTGGGGGATGATTGGAAGAGCATGGAATTGCTGCAGCCAAAATTATTTTTGTGAGCACATTTCCAAACACACGATCATGTTTTGATAAGAAACATCTCTTTCTCTGAAAGGTCTCAGGGCCCACTTGTCAGCCCCTCACTCCCAATTCTGGAACCTGTGTTAGGCTGTTCTGTGGCTCAGTTCTTGGTGATATGTTTTCTATTTGAGTCAACTTGATGAGAGAAAAATTACTAAAAAGTGGAAATGAGCTGTGAGGTGAATAGGGTTTTCCTATCAAAGTGGAGGTATTTTTAAAAGCATTTATTATTTCAAACTAAAACATTTATAGAAAGCCATGAGTGTGAAGTGTATGGTTACCAGTTGTGGATTGCCGTATTGAAAAATTCAAGCTCCTAGGAAATACTTACTGAGGCTCTGGCCAGCAAAAAGTTCGATCATGGGAATAATTTGGTCCAGGAGGCATGTCAGTTTAAAACAATCGTTTACTAACATGCTAGTAGCAGGCAATTAACATTCATAAACGTTGCCGTGATTGAGACATAATTTGGGGTCTTAGATGGAAACAGTTCTGTCATTAACGGAACAGAATTGAAATGCCGAATGTCTGGGTCTTACACATGACGTGTGTGTCATAAGTGAGAAAATCACTCCTCCATTTTCTATATTTTATGGGCTCTGATGTAATTCGGTTATTTTTTTCTGTGTTGAAAATGATGAATATCGTTTTTGGCACGTTTGTTCCATAGTAAAAAACTAGTTTAGAAGCTAAAAATGTCTGGCTTTGACTGTGGATTAAAGAGATGTAGTAGATCTAAATTCACTGTCTTAGGGAAGATCGGTTTTGTGTGGCATCTCTGGAAATTTGTTTGTAACTTAGAAAGTTCTCTTGTCATGGGAATGCTGGAGATCTGAGGGAAATGTGTTTAATCACGTTGGGTGAGCACGTCCCTTTTTGGGTGAGTTCTTAGTAAGCTCACAATGTTTCTTCTCACTCAATTATGCATCATAGAGTTCATTCTGCAACAATGCATATGGGTGTTGTGGGATAAAGAGCCAGCTGCAAACTGTATTTATGGTATATGATTTTACATACACATAAAATTTTATGCATGTGCACGTGGGTGCTTGTGTATTAAAAGAAAGATGACTCGAAGGTTGTTAATACTGAACCCCGGGTGGTGGGTGGTGGGTGATTATTGTTTTCTTTGTACAGTTTTTAGAGTGCTCCATTTTCTTTTGTTATTATGAAACGTGCCATACATTTGAGGGAGGACATATGTCCAGTTTAGAGAATAATAGTGTAATGAATAGGCACTGCCTGGCTGAGAAAACAGAATATTGCTTCCTCTTAGAAGCCAAGCCTTCCTTCTGTCCCCGCCTCTTTCATGGAGGTCATTGCTTGCCTGAATCTTATGCTAATCACTTCTTTGTTTTTCTGTATGGTTTAGCCACCTATGAATGCCTCCTGAAGCCAAAAATTGGTTTTATTTTTGATTGTTTTGAACTTCAAATATATGAAATCATACTGGGTATATTCTTCTGGGACTTTCCTTTTTTTTTTTAGCTCTTTACGTTTTTGGGATTCATTCATGTTGATGCGTGCAGTTAATTTTTCCTTTGTGAGTGAAAAATATCATTTCCTCACCAAAACATCAAGGAAGTTATAGTTATTTTGAAAAGGAAAACCTCATATTTATTTTTAAGAAATATATGTGCTGGAGGAATGTGGAAGTAACTGTGTTTTTTGTTTTTGCCTGGGAGATTTGATCTCAGGATATCATCAGATACACACTTTTTTTTTCTTTTCTTTCTTTTTTTTTTTTGGCTGCTCTGTGCAGCATGTGGGATCTTAGTTTCCTGACCAGGGATCGAACCTGTGCCCCCTGCAGTGGAAGCTCGGAGTCCTAACCACTGGACCACCAGGGAAGTCCTGAAATAACTATGAGTTTGTGAAATAAAAACATTGTTTTTCCAGTTCTTATATGTTCACATGTTGACGTTGTTGATAGCTGCCTACAGAATGTGATTTGGGGGATCCCTGGCTGTACACCAGAGCAGAGAAATACCTGCCTTTCTTGCCCTTGCTGGGCAGTCACTGTGCCTGAGATTCAGCCATCAGTTATTCTTTCCTTGGGATTTTAGGCACTAGCTCCTCAAAGGAAAACTGTGTCATTTACAATCCAACATGAATTAGTTTAGCCAGTGATCAGCTTTAGTACTGATACTTGGAAAGCAATGAGCAGGTCTTGGGAGGCGGAGGAAACATCTCTAGACCTTGAGATGTTTGGGGACGGGCTTCAGTGGGACATTTAAATGAAGAGCTCTGGGCCTCCCAAAGACAGATGACAGGGTGAAGAGGCAACACCAGGTGTGGAGACACAGAGAGAGGAGGTAGGTAAAATTTTGCCCCCTTTATACATTTGCCCATTGTCGTGACAAGCACTTTCTGACGACTAGTTTCTGAGCGAGGCATCCTCAATTCCAAACATAACCAAGACTCAGCCCCTGCTTTTAGAGGACCCTCAGTCTAACAGAGGAATCGGATACACTAACAATCTTTGTACCGTGTTCTAGAAGGCTACTGAGAGAGCAAAGGGACAAGGGCTGACCTGACCGCCGAGGGGCCTCCGTGAAGAGGCCTTGCCTATGTGGAGACTTGAAAGAAGGATGGGTCTGTGGGACAAGGAAGGGAGGCCGTCCCATCCGCGGGAAGGACGTTTACCGAGGCACCAGGACATGAGAGCGCGGACTCCAGGGAACAGCTGATACTCATGGCCTGCATGTGGGATCCGTCCTTGGTTTAGAAACCAACAATTCAAGGGCCATATACGAGGTACGGTTTTATCGTACTTTGCTGCTTTTTCTTGTTTGGATAAAGTGTAAATAGGGTACAAGAATCATATCTTACCAAAGCAAATATGTATCATAGTTTAAAAAAATGTTAACTTTGGGAACCATCAACCATAAATAAGAAAGCATCGAAACTGTAGGAAGCAAATAGATCTGTTATCTAGAAATGAATAGAACATGCTGTGCAACTCAAATTTGATTCAGCAAGTAATTACTGGCCCCTCTTCTGGGCATCGTGGAGGACACTGTCACAGTGGTGGTGATCATGGTCGTTCCACGAAGCAATGCCTCTGCCCTTGGCAGCTCTAGGGTAACACGACTCTATCAAGTCTACTGAAGAATCAGAGAATGGAGAACTTCCCACCCCTTTCCTTACCGCCAACTTCCAAAAGCAAGCTTTCTGTAATTTGACTCTGCTGAAGAGGAAATCCACGTAAAGCTCATCAGCCCTGTAATTAATCCAGCGCAGGTGGTGAAGAAGTGAAGTGGTGACGGACCCAGGCAGATTGAATTACAAATGCCGGAGTCTGCACTTCACTCCAGAAACTGACAGTGAATGCAAGGGGCCTTTTCCTCGCGTGCTCAGGCTGAATGTTATCAGCATAGAATTTCTGATAGTGCAGAGAGAAACCCTACGAGAAACTACGGGTGGCTCTCAGACCCGCTCCCTTCGCCATCCCTAAAGCCCCTCTTGGATCCCTCACTAAACGAAGGATGCTGAATTGCACCAAGACTGTGTTTTAGACCATCTCCCTGTTTCTTTCCAGGTCCACTCTAGGAATGTATTTATTCTGGGAAACATATAGGAATATCTCTACTGCTAGCATCTTGGTCCAAGCCACCACGTAGTTCACCTGGTTACTGCAATATCCTCCTAACTGGTTTTCCCACTTCTGTCCTTGACTCTCTTTCAGTCTGTTCTCAACACAGGGGCCAGAACGATCCATGAAAAGGTCATTCCTCTGTTAAAACCCTGTAAGGCAGCCTGCCTACTCTCCTTCCCCGTCCTGTCCCATCATCTCTGTCACTGAGTCTCCCTCCACCCTCCTTTCTCGCTATACGTTCCCTGCACTGGCCTCCTTGCTGTTTCTCCAACAGATCGGGGACCCTCTCACCTCAGGGTGTTTGTACTTGCTGTTCCCTCTGTCTGGACCACTCTTCTTCCTGTACCTGGCTTATTCCCGCACTGTCTTCAGGTCTGGACTCCAATATTACATTCTCTATGAGGATTTCCCCAGCTGTTTTCTGTGAAATTGTAGCTCCCAGATGGTGTATTTCCTACTCTCCTTCCCTACTTTGCTTTTTTCTAGGTACTTATCATCATCTCATACATCATACATTTCACATTTTCACTTTGTCTTTCTTCTGTCTCCTCCAACTGGAACGTAAGGTCTGTTTTCACGTGACTGTGTTCCCAGTGCCCGAATGGTGCTGCCACAGAGTAAGCACTTGATGTACATATTTGTGGAGAAAATAAATGAACGGGTGTGTGAAAACACGGGCATACTCCTACCTTATATTGCTTTTATGAGAATACTCTAGTTCCAACCAAATTTTAGTTAGAGCGACACTTAGTTCTCATTAAGTAAAAAAACATTTGCCCGTGGTGTTTCCTTTCTATGTGCCACTGTTTGAATTTTGTCTTTTCCAAGCTTAAAATAATAACAGATTGAGTGCAAGTTTAATGCTTTCTGACTGTCACTTGTAGAAAGGAGCCCCTTGAGTTAGAAAGCGAACAATCTTCATGCTTTCCAGAAATATTCTCTTTGAGGAAAGGCCTCAGAAATGGCTTTTAAATATATCTTTGTGGGATCTACACATCCAAAGAGCAAAGAAATCTTCCAGCAGCAAGACTTATCGTGAGATTAGGACTACTTCTACATCTGAGGTGGATGGTCACCTCAATGAGACCTCAGTTGGTCTAAGCCAGTTCTTCATCTTGATCTTCAGCTATTTGAGAGGACATCTGGGTCAGGTCTATGCTGCATATGTTTTTCCTTTTCCTTCCTTGACTTAATCAGAGAGTAAGAACAGCATCTTCTCTGCAGAAGGAAGACGGGGAGTCAACTGATCTGTCAGATACCTGTTTCTATAACATTTTATTGGAACACAGCCACATCCTTTTGGTTATGTGTTGTCCGTGAATATTGTCTACACCTGCATTCATGCAGGATAGCAGAACTGAGTACTTGTAACAGTGGCTGTATGGCTTGTGAAGCTTAACTTATTTACTTCTGGCCCTGGATAGAAAATGTGTGGATCCCTGACATCAGGCTACAACCAATTCATGTTGGGGAGGCCACCCAAAGGCAGTTAGCCACATGGAAGAGGAGAAAACAGAGGTTTTGTAATCCACAGAGTGGCCACAGTCTTTAATTAATTAATAGGCAATTACATATTTTCTCAGTTTGTATAATTGCTTGGTCCTGTTACATTATTTGTAAGTATAAAATTTCTAAACAGAACCATTTATTCTCATTGACATATTGAAATTCAGAACTATTTCATTTTAATTATGGATTGGTTTTCCAGTAACGGTGACTTCTGCCACTAATTTTCAGTTCCTTTGCAGCTTTTTAGATCAAGTGCTATTGTATAATAAGCACCACTGCATTTTTTTTTTTTTGCGGTACGCGGGCCTCTCACTGTTGTGGCCTCTCCCGTTGTGGAGCACAGGCACCGGACGCGCAGGCTCAGTGGCCGTGGCTCACGGGCCCAGCCGCTCCGCGGCATGTGGGATCTTCCCGGACCGGGACACGAACCCGTGTCCCCTGCATCGGCAGGCGGACTCTCAACCACTGCGCCACCAGGGAAGCCCTATATGTATCTTTTAATATATGATTGAAATTGGTTGCAGTGATCAGTTTTGACGAAATCATCTCTCTTTAAACATAACTACTTCACAGTGGAAAAACAGGTAGCATTAATGCTGTAGTTAATTTGGTCATCCAGTCAGGTTTTATGAAAACAACTTGCTTCTTGGATTTTCTTAAAACACAGCACCTATAGCTTTAATGTGTCTTATTTGTAGAATATCAAGATAGACTATATTGAAATGTCTATTGAGATGTGTGATAAATAATCAAAATTAAGCACTGTGTTGAACGTTCGAGAAACTTTCAGAATGTGTTATCTGCATTTGGGGATCTCCAGGAAGGCTCTACTTAGAAGATTTGTCATTTGTTTAAATTAGTGAAGTTGGTATAATAGAGACAAAGTGACAAACCCAGCCTTCCAATATTTACTGGGAAATACAAGGCCATGTCACATTTTTAGTATTCAATGCGACTTTAGTGGTCTGAAAGAGTTAGGTCTCTTTAAGCGTATCACAGTCAGATTTATGTAGGCACCGTGGAAAACAGAGAAGACTTCTGCCTATAACACAGGCTTAACTGTATAGCCATTAAATCACAAATAGAGACTGTATCTGGCACTGTATTGTTGCAGTACATTTTATCCTTAAATAATAAAGTATTAATAACAAAATGTACCACTTGTGGAGTCTCACGTGTGCCAGGCCGTTTCTGTGTGCTTTGTGGGTATCATGTCATGTGTGCTTTACAAGATCCTTCCAGCTCTATTTTTCTGATGAGGAAACTGAGGCTTAGAGAGTTTAAGTAACATGTCAGGAGCACAAAGAGGAAGTAACGGCACCCAGTTTTGGCTGATTCAATCCATGGGATTGGATCCTCTGCAGTGTACTACTACCCTCAATAGGTGTAATCTTAGCTTTTTGATTATGGGACAAAACTTAAATGGATTCTCTCTTCACATCTGTTTTTATGTCTTGTACAAAATGGTTAAAAACAGAGTTCTTTCCTACCTTCTATCACACCCCGCACCCTCAACCCTGCATCCCTTATATTTGCATACTCCATTACCTTTTAGAGATCATTCTAAGTAAAATTAAAAAGTGATTTTTTCAAAGCATTACAGTCATCCTTCTCTTCTTTATCCTTTTCCTAGGTTCTTAAATATGATGTTGTAAATCTCACCTATCATTCCTGCTTCCAAAGGTGCTTTCTCATTTAAAAAAAAAAAAAAAAAAGAGAAACACAGAAATTCCAGTGTTACGGCAGACAGCTGGACTTTGTTGAGATGACTTAGGTCTGGAAGGTGTTCGTCCTACTGGACATTTCTGGAAACAAATATTTTAGCTTGATTTATGGTGCTGGAATAATTATTGTTATTTTACAGACTCCACATACTTCCATTGGAAGAACAACATTTGGAAAGCATCTTCCAATCGTCCAGGCACCATTCCCTGCCCTGAATTACTTCCACTTAATTAAACCAGGTGGTACTTTGCATCAACAAATTTTAGATAATGCCTGTAAAGGGACTTGAAGGTGAAAAGTACAATTTAGCGGGACACGTTACTGATGTGATGCCATCAGCCCGGATAATGACAAGTAATTGAGAAGCCCCTTCTCTGTACACTTTTATGTACATACAGTCGTTGAGGTCTAGATGTCCACGGCATCTAGACATGGTCTGGAGGGCACGCTGTCTCTCCACAATCATGGGAAACTTTGGGGAAGAACCGAGGTTGTTTCACACTGACCTCCTTTTCCCCTCTCCTGGCTCCTGGACTGTCTGCGGAATGAGCAAAAAATTATTTTGCAGCATCTAGAAGTCAAAGTGTGCAGTCACGTTGAGTGCATCTGACTGAATTTCCACTTCTTCCTTTGGAAGAATATGGTGAAAAGGAGGTGAAGTTTTTCACAAGCAGTTAATAGATTCAGCAAAGCTTGCCTAATCATTTCGATCATTAATAAACGATTATTGACTAGTTCATAGTCTACCCCATCCCAGAAAAGATTTGAGGTGATGCACATGAATGTGTAAAGTAAGGTTAAAAGTATGCATGAATACGAAGTCCAGACAGAGGAAACATAACATGGAGATCAAGGCTGGGGAGAATCAGAGCCGAACAACTCAGGCCAAAGTGAATAAAGCCGAGTTGTGCTTGGCTCTGAACTTCCCGTGACTGACTTGGAAAGGGAACCATGACTAGTAAAGTCTAAATTTAATTCACCGAGAAGAAACTAGACAAACATTTCGGTGCCTTTTTCCCCATTATTTTGAGCAGTAAAAGTCACAGAGGGTCAAAGCTTTTGTTAAGTCCCGTCTTGTCCTGGTAGCCATTTTTAGGGAAGTGAATTGATCCTTTCCTGCCGCAGATAACGTAACTAAATGGATTATTCCATTCCATTAAATGGAACCCGGAAAAAAAATTCCTCTCACAGTGTAGTCAGTTTAGATCTGGGCTGGAATGAATGCACTTCTAGAATCTGGCTGGTTCACTCTTAGTTCAGTTATAAGGGCCAACTCCAGTGATGCTGTTTAGAACTCCAGGGAGCCAGACTCACATCTTCTTCTCTTTCCTCCTGGGTATTCCTGTTCCGAGGACTGTGGCCGCGGTCTCAGACCTCCCTGTTAGGAATTGGGAAGGGTCTGACATTTTACCCTACTGGCAAGCCGACAAGTGAGCCTACTTCATTCATGACTCACAGCAACAGCAGCAGCTGGAGTATCCCGGGCTCCAGTTCCCACCCGGCCACATAAAGAGGGCTACGGATGCCCGCACAGTTCCCGGGCTGCATTACAGGAGAGGAACCCTGAGCTTGAGGAGCCCGGCTAGTTCAATATTTTATCATGGGCAGTGAGCATGCTGCTCCTTTGCCCCAGAGAAAGACACTTATCTCTGTCTTCCAAGGTAGTTAGTTATGCAAACACCCTCAGTTAGGAACAGTGGAAATTAGCGCCTCTGCTTCTAAGAAACGCAGAAATGTGACAGACCTACTGTCTCACAACAGTGCTGTCACACCCTTATATCTCCTCAAATACTATGCGTCCCTGAAAATGAAAATTTTCAGAGCTACTTTTTTTTTTTCAGGCTTCTTCGTGCCTATATTTTATTTTTTAAAATTTTTATTGGAGTAGAGTTGATTTACAATATTGTGTTACTTTCTGCTGTACAGCAGAGTGAATCAGTTATACATATACATCTATCCACTCTTTTTTAGATTCTTTTCCCATATAGGCCAGTACAGAGTATTGACTAGAGTTCCCTGGGCTCTACAGTAGGTCCTTATATTAGTGATCTGTTTTATATATAGCAGTGTGTGTGTGTCAATCCCAATCTCCCAATTTATCCCTCCCCCCCCATCAACCCTGGTAACCGTAAGTTTGTTTTCTACATCTGTGACTCTATTTCTGTTTTGTAGATAAGTTCATTTGTACCCTTGCATTTTAGAGAAATCTTATCTCTCTCTGGATTTTCATTGTAACCTCTACCAAGATTTTGTTATTAGTCTTCTAATATATACTTCCCTGTTTCTAATGGTTTCATATGAGTCAACATTTTTTTCTCAAGGAGGGTCTAGGGTATTGGAGAGCAGAAACCACTTTTGGAGCTTATTTTGTACTACTATAGCACTCAGTATTGTAGATGGTATGTATATATGAAATATGTGGCCCTTTCATATATATGAAAGGGCCATAGTTGGAAAGATTGTCCATGGTAACAAAATGAAAAATAATTGCCCATACTTTCCAATTTGTCATGCTACAATGCACAAAGAAACAGAATTCCTAACTAAGAATCTGAAAGTTTTTATGATTTCATAGCTGTAGCATGCCAAGATTCTCCAGCCAAATCTCGGCTTGGCTTTACTGGAATTTAAGCACAGTGTGTTTGGCCACTCGTGTTGATTTATCTCTGATTAAACGTAAGGGATGGAAGGGACTCTCATGAGACAAGGGTGGCTCTACTTTTACCCAGGAGCTTTTTGCCTAAATAGGGCCAGCACTGTGAAGAAGACAGGTGGCAGCACGGTGGAAGGCAAAACGGTGGGTGAGCACAACCCATGTCGATACTAGTTAATCAAGCAACAAGCCCATGTTTGCTGAAAATTAGCTAGGCATCTGCACTGGGCGAGTCTTGTCGGCCTGGCTTCTGGTACAGAAGCAGAGAATGAGGCCAGCATGCGCACTTGAAATAAGTCAGGAACCGAAGTAAATACTTTTCCTTTTTTTCTGCCTATCTACAAAAAAGCAAAATATGTTTTAAAACGGAATTAGAAGTCTCGCCTATAGACCATGATTTTATAGATGCGTGAGGGGCCCTTTAGCCTAGCGGGCGTTCATAGGCTTTGGGGCTTGGTTAAAATCCGGACTGCACCACTTAAGCACTGAGTCAGGTTAAATTACATGAGTTTGCGGAGTTATCAGTAAATGTGGAAAATAAAGCCCACTTCTTGGAATATTTGAGAATTAAATGACGTAACGGATGTCAAGCCCCCAGCGGATGTACACCTGGTACACACAGTTGGGCCCCAAAAGGGTAATTTTCATTATTATCAAACAATTGAGCAGTAAGGAAGGTTTGAGGCTGGAAAAGTGGGGGGAATGACTGAAGAAGAACGAAGAAGAGCAGAGTTGGCCAAGGGATGAATCGGCAGAGAACAGTAGATGTTTAGGGCAATGAAACAATTCTGTATGTGCTCTAATGGTGGATACATGTCATTGTACGTTTATCCAAACCCGTAGAATGCGTAATACAAGGTCAAGAGTGGACCCTAGTGTAAACGGTGGACTCTGGGTGGTTATGATGTGTGTTGTAGGTTCATCAGTGGTAACAAATGTAGCCCTCGGGTGGGGGATGATGATGGGGGAGGCTGTGTGTGGCATGGGGGAGGGGGTTAGATGGAAAATCTCTGTACCTCCCGCTCAATTTTGCTGTGAACCTAAAAGTGCTCTAAAAAATAAAATCTGTTTAAAAAAAACCAGCCCTTAGACCGTCCCCCAAGTAGGGAGTGACCCAAGGGATATGGGACGATTTTAACTATGAGCCAGGTTCCCCACCAGGACTCCGAAATGGAGGAAAAAAGATGACTACCCTTCAGTGGACTATCCTGATTACTGATGGATTAAATGAAGAATCTCATTCTTCAGGGCAACGAAGAAAAAGCATTAAATTTTGTAACCCTATCAATCTTTGTAAATCTTCCACACTAAAAGTAGACAACTTACATATAGGGGCTTTGCCGGAGTCTCAAGTTGACTTTTTGTATTTTTTACTTGCTTTTTTAGATAGTCCCATTATAAACCATAAAATCAAAATTATGATGTAGAGAGTAATAGTTCCTTTGTCAAAGTGAAATAAGGTAATTGGTAGTTTTCCAAGATGGTCTGAAGGGGGTGTGTTATATTTATGTGATCTAAATCCATTGGTTAAATGCGCAGGGATTAACATCTGTTAAAAGAGTTGTGCTTGGCATGCAGGTGTTTCAATATTTGCATTTAGTATGTGTTTCAGAAACGGCCTCTGAGAAAAACATTTATATAACGATCTGGTGGTTTTATTGTCTAAATCTGTCCGGACAGTCATTTTGTTACCCAGACTTTGTGACCCTCTTGCAAGCTGTAAACTATTTAATGAAGTGAGTACATTGAGAAAGATGACAGACTTTCAAACTCGGGGGGAAAGAGTCTTATATGAGAAGAATCAGCTTTTCCCCTGGAGACTGCGCCTAATATGTGAACAGCAGAAACAATTACATTGGTGATTTCGGGAAGTTCAATAAATTTCATGGCACAGTCCTACTTTTGAAATATTACATCATTCAGCAAAAGCTTAGGCTCGTATATTAGCTGAAATGAACTAATCATGAATTAATTACCATCAGTTCGCTTTTGTGAATGGAGTGCAGAGGTAGCGCTCTGGTTTCATTGCATTCAGCGCCTTGCAGCTTAACTGTGCTGCTGTTTAAGCGTCCCTGTACCCACAGGTGAGGGCGCTCAGGGTGGATTCCATCCAGCGAACCTGAGGATCCTCTCTCACTGTGGGGACTGACACAACCATTCCCTAATCCACGTTGTTAAAATAAGTTGTGCTCTTACACACCATTGTAAAGCAATTATACCCCAATAAAGATGTTAAAAAACAAAACAAAACAATTGTAAGAAAAAGAAAAAAAAAAAGTTGTGCTCTGGTCATTTGTTTTGTAGGTAACGTGGGGGGGGGGGGAAGTAAATGCAGCGTTTCTCCAGGGATTTGTGGCTTAAAATTAGAAAGAAAACAGGGGAATCAGTTGATTTTGCACATTGCCAGATTATCCCTCGAGCTCATGAAAACTGGGTAAAAGCAGAATTATGAATTCTACTTTATAAAAACCACACGTGGCTATGATAGCACATGATGGCTCACTTTGGCTTAATTACTTTTTAAGTGCTTTAAATGTCTTCAGGGTGTGTGGATAGCCCATCAGAAATTAATGTTTTGTGTATAAACAGCAATTAGTTTTTGATGTTAGTATCTGCCATGTGGCTTGTTCACCACAATGACTCTGCTTTTTGACTTCTAGATAGTTCCTGAATCAAGGTTATTTCAGGCCGCTTTGGAAATTCACCCAGGAAGTTTCAGTTGAAGCAGATTTCAGATACCTCATGGTTTCAGGTAATGGACTCCATCAGCTGAGGGTGGGGATGTGTTATGTGGGATTGTGATTCGAGTTTTGTCTGATGCCTTGTGGAACAGTCTGCACTTTTCTGGGCTTGGAACAGCCATCTACTGTATTTTCTTCACTGAACACGTACTAGCACTTCTCACGATTGCTGTAGCCAGTCCCGTAAACTCTACCTTATCCATATCTCCTCCTTTGGTGGTTTGCACGGACCAGAAAAATCTCCAGAATTTTTGGGGGGAGACCTATGTCGATAGTCAACTTTTGATTTTGCCCATTATGGGCGTGAAAAATACTCTTATCATCTAAAAAAATGAGAGTACATTTTCACACCCCAAATTGAGAAAGATATAAAGCATGAATGAAGAAGAGCACTGTAAATTGAGTAAATTTAACTTACGCAGAAGTCGTTTCTTATTTTTCTCATTTGGGTGACAACTTTGCCATGGGTTGACATCTAGCAGGAGAGTGTTGAGAATCATTGACAGGTTTGGAAATGCCTTTGTCTTGGCATCAGGGACCTGGGTTGGGGTGAGATACCAACTCGGGGTCAGCTATTGGGTTTCTCTGAGGCTCCTCTGGGAAGAGGGGATGGGAACCCTGGCCTGGCCTTTCTCTCAAGGTTATTGTGAAATTCATGTGGAATAATGTATGCAAAAGTGTTTTTGGGGCCATAAAGCACAATGAAAGTGAGGTTGTTTTATTGCAAATTTATAGAAGATGATAATGAGGTGCTGGAACCCTCTGGTTAGGCACAGCATCAGGAATCAAATGAGGAATCACCTCCTGGTTTTTCCGCTGAGCATGCAACACCTTCTCTAGTCTCCAATGGGTAAAGGATGCAGAGGTTTTAATCGAGCTGGTTTAGACCTTTTCCTGAAGCGCCCTCCTACTGCTACTGGCTCCTTGAAGAAAGAAATTTTTTTTTTCTTTTTGGCCGCGCCTTGCGGCTTGCGCGGATCTTAGTTCCCCAACCAGGGATCGAACCTGTGCCCCCTGCAGTGGAAGCACAGAGCCTTAACCACTGCACCGCCAGGGAAGTCCTGTAGAAATGCTTCTTTTCTTCTCTGTGATGGCCCTTGAGAAAGGCAAAGAAATTTAGTTGCTGAGACCCAGAGATGCTCTGGGGAGCACATGGAGAGGTGTGGTACCCAACTCCTTGCTTGGCATGTTGTACTGCTAGTAAAGCTCTAAAGACCTTGGGGTGTCCTTCCTGGATGTTGTCTGCCCTGCTTCTCTTGGACTCTGCATACACCTCCCTTTGCTCCTACTACATTCTATTTAATTATGTACTAATATGCCTCTTTCTTCTGGTATGTGCCTCCTTCAGAACAGGGTCTTTATCTTTCATTTTTATGTTCCCATCACACAGTAGATTCTTATTAAATGTTGAACTCAACCAAACATGGGTCTTTTTTGTGACAGCCACATGAGTCTGTTTACAGATATTAAACTGATGGCCCAAATCTTCATGTCTTTTTTTAATGAGGGTTGCTGATAAATCATATATTTCCTATTTTTTAGTTGCTTACTTTTTCCGGTGTCAAAAGCAAAACCTTGTACAAACTTTGTTTCCTCTTGTTAGTCTGGCTCTGTACTCAGGTCTAATATTGAGGGCAAGTCTGATTTTGAATTTCTTACATGATTTTAAATCCGGGTAATACGTGTATAAGGAATGCAGTTTAAATGGCACAGAAGTGTGTGCAGCATAAATGAAGTCTCCTTTTTCTCTGTGTCTCAGAGCCTGCCACCTCTCCTCTCTGGATGAAATTGTTACCTGTTTCTTGTATATTCTTCAGAAATAATTTACACACACATTTTTAATATATACCTATTGTTCTACATGGTGCTGGATATAATACAGTTGATAAGTAATCTTATTTTTCCCTACACGAACTTATACATATTTCATGGGTCACACAAGGTCATGTAACCAAATCACATTTTAAGTGGGAAAGAAAATAGGTATCAATTTGATTTCATATTTAAATTTTAACTTGACGTTTTACACCCTTAAAAAAGACTGCAGGGCCATACATTTAAAAACTTTATTCATTGAATCTTGACTTCAATTTCTTTCGAAAGGGTACAATTATCATTGTAACTTGATGCTGAAAATCAACCTAATAACAAGTTTGACCCAGTGAGGCTTCATGCATTTTCTTAGAGGATTTCTAAAAATATCCAGTTCAATTGGCTGATAGGTTGCTAACTGGGTAAAGCAGGTGAAATATACATGAGCTTCAGAAATGACCATCTTTAAGAAATTCTTGTATACCTTAGTATACATGTAGGTGACAAGCAGTCATACTTTTCGGCTAGGATTCTGGATGGTGATGAGCACCTGAGACGTCCTTATTCTGGGTCTTCAGGACCTACTGAGGCTAAATCTGTTTCTATATTTCATTTTACCCATAGCATATTGTTGTGAAATAAACGGCAAAAACAGGTAAAAAAAAAACAACAGAAGCAATGACAAGAAAAAAAAGTCATCACAAAGCAAACTGTAGCTTGAAATTTATTTACAGACATCGAGGAGAGAGTATCTTATAGATTTGCTCTACTGGTGGTGTGGGATTTATAAACAGGCAATATAGAATGAGAACTGCTGAAACAGAAAAATCTCATTCCTTAAATCTGTCTCCTACTGTCTGACTTTTACATTTCCATTAAAAGCATGATTATTTTTGTCGCCACCTCCCTACACCCAACGTCTTGGAATAATCTGTTATTCTTTTCCCTCTAATATTTTTAACCAATCACCCAGTCTAGCTGCCTCTTTTTGAGCATCTAATAGCTGCCCCGAACCCTATATGATCTAAGTCTCACAATACCCTGTCAAGTAATCATTATTGTTCCCATTTGCCCAATGAGAAAACAGAAGTTCAAGCAGGTTAAATGAGGGGCTCTGGGTCACTGAGTTTATAAGCAAAAGAGCCAGATTTCAGGGCCTGGTTTATCTGTCGCCCAAACCTGTTTCTTCCAGTGATGGAAACTCTCCCTCTCAAGGAATGCTGGTACTATCTATGGAGTTTTCCTCCTAAATGTTATGATTATATTTAAGAATCAGGGACACAGATTTAGGTTAATCATAATCCTTGGTTCGAGGCACTTTCATTGCTGCTTCATTCATGGCCACCTTCTTTTTTGTTTGGTGTTTCTGTTTTGATGTAATAATAATTAATAATAATAATAATAATGTGAACTCCTTCCCAACCTGAGAGAGAGGACCTTGAGAATAACTTACACCTATTCAATAGCTCTCATATCAATCTTCTTTCAATTCCCTCTGCTACTCTGCTACTTAAAGGTCTAAATAGCTCACTTTGGGGCTCTTTAAATTCCTCATAATTGGCTTCTATCCAATGTTCTTTTCTCCAGTCCACTCTCTGAACATCTCTCACAGACTGATATTATTTTATTTATTTATTTATTTGGCTGCACCAGGTCTTCGTTTTGGCACGTGGGATCTTTTAGTCGTGGCATGCGGGCTCGGTCTTGGTTTTGGCACGTGGGATCTTTTAGTTGTGGCATGCGGGCTCTTAGTTGTGGCATGTGGGATCTAGTTCCCTGATCAGGGATTGAACCCGGGGCCCCCTGCATTGGGAGTGTGGAGTCTTAACCACTGGACCACCAGGGAAGTCTCCAGATTGATTTTATTAAAATACAACTCTCTTCACATCATTATCTTGTTCAGAATCTTTCCCTCTCCCCCCCTGTAATTCTACACTGGCCTTTGGAGACCTCTAGTATGTTACCTCATCCTCCACTCTAGTTATATCTCACAGTCTAGATAAACCAAAGTGTTCATGCTTCTCAGACCATCCCCCATGTTCTTATCCTTAGCACTGCAAGCCATTCTCTTTGCTTGTAAGCGTTCTCCTCCAATCTCTGACCATTTGGTCACCTCTTTCATGAGGTTTTCCTTGATTCTCCCAACCAGAAGGAACTCTGCACTCCACAAATCACTCATATATTAGTGTACATCCCATGGTTCTTATCACCTACCAACTCATGTTACAATAATTTATCTTCTTGTTTTATTTCCCTTAATAGATTGTAAGCTTCTTAGAGATAAGAATATTTTAAATTTAATTTTTGTATATCTCATCAGCGTAGTCGTTTCCTTTTCTTTGCCCTTGTATGAGGAAAGGATGGGTGTCCATTAACCTCAGGTGTTCTCCAGCACCAACCAATTCCTTGTGCCCTTCCTTCTCAAAGTTGTTCTTCTCTTGTTTTCCATGACTCATGGCTTTCTCCTATCTGTGCATTGGCTACGTGGCGGGTGGAGACGGTTTAGTGGGGTAGGAGCAGAGGAGACGAGGGAGGGGGGACAGGCAGTACCCAGTGACTGGGGCTATGTCAATTGTCTGCAGGGAATTGATGTAAACACATTGACAGGCGAGACTATGACAGTATCACTGCTCCTTATTTCAAGGGTAAGGAGTGACTGGAATGGATGTTAGATCAAGAAAAAGGAGGTGGATGGGGGCTTCAGTTTCACTCCCACCTCCTCTGCTCTTTCTGGTGCATCCTAGGTGATTAGTCATCCTTCCTACGTTGCATAATCACACCTTGCCCATGAAGAGCATATTGTAATTCACAGTATTTTGAAGATTAGGAAAATAGATTGATGAAATTTCTTTAGTTCCTTTATTTACTGTTTAGGAAGTTTGTAGTACATCACTCTTAGCCTAAAAGAATGTAGGAACTCCTGGGAGACAGAACAGAGTCAATATTTTTATTTTTAAAGATTTTTATTTATTTATTTTTCGTGTTTTTATTTCTATGTATCTTTATTTATTTATTTTTGGCTGCGTTGGGTTTTAATTGCTGTGTGCGAGCTTTCTCTAGTTGCGGCGAGCGGGGTCTACTCTTTGTCACGGCGCACAGGCTTCTCACTGCAGTGGCTTCTCTTGTTGCGGAGCACGGGCTCTACAGCGCAGGCTCAGTAGTTGTGGAACACGGGCTTACTTGCTCTGTGGCATCTTCCCGGACCAGGGCTTGAACCTGTGTCCCCTGCATTAGCAGGCAGACTCTTAACCACTGCGCCACCAGAGAAGCCTGCTCTGGTGCTTTTGTAGATTTACACCTCCATTGAAAACTTGCTAGCTGAAGCCCTTAGGAAAGAGGGAGGGAAGGAGAGAAGGGGAGGGAGAGAGAGAGAGAGAGAGGCGCGTGGGAGGGGGAGCGAAGGAGGGAGAGAGACAGATTATTTTTAGCTTGACTTCTAAGTCAGGGCAGAGAGGAAATAGTCACCAATGTTCATGACATTTATGTCTAGGTGATGAGGCCTGTCATGTTACTAAGTTGTTCAGGATTTCAGTGATATTTCTTTTAAAATATAACCTACAGATTGAATGTACTTAAGAAAAATTCCAGAAGAAAACTCATTTCCAAAGAGGTTTTTGGTTGTGGTGGTGATGCTGAGGAATGTGTGTTATTGATCTTGTAATAGAAATAATGACTTCAACCAGGTTTTCTAAGAAAATGAATGACTGCCCCAGGTTGATGGCCTTGAGGCAATCTCCCAGTCAGCCCTCCATCCTCAGGAAATGCCCCAGGCCTTGATCATTATTGTGTAAATAATACAAAAGTGGGTATAGTCCTCCGGTCAGATGGGAAACATACACCCTTATTCTCTCCTGGATTCCCTTTATGACAATAAGAATAACATATTAGGGGAAAAATGCAACAATTTTGCTACCAATGCAAATAAATAGTCTTGTTTAAACAAAATTATTAAACATAATATTAACTAAACTTGAACTCTGTATGTCTGAGTGAGAAATAATGGAAAACTCCACACTCAGAATTCTTCGACAGCTATAGTTACAGCTAAGTAGAGCCAAATATTGAATTGAGAATAATGCAATTACTGTCGTATTAGATATTTCAAGTTAAAATCAGGGTTAAATCAGACACATAATCGACTGCTTTAATGGTTGCAAACAAAAGACGGTGCTGAAATTTACTTTTAAAATTAGGACCTTATATTCTCATAAAAATATCTTATGGAACTGTGTTTGAAAAGTTTTCAGATAGATATTATGATGTATAGGGATAGTTTTCTTATCTTAAAATATCAAAGGATTTTTATGGTCTTTTCATGGGCTTATTTTGCATTCCAGGATCTTCAAGAAGGCAAATAGTAAAATGAAAAACACGTGCAGGAAATTAGGATTGCAGTTGCCTGGGCCGCTGAAGGGGTTGCTACTGAGGGGGAAAGGCCTCGGAGGGGATCTTCTTATGTTGAATGGAGATGTGCATGCATAACATCGTCCCAAATCCAGGTGTGGAACTTCTACACTTTAAATATCTCACAATTTTATTTGTCAGTTATACCTTAATAAAACTGGAAAAAAGTAAATTTTTAAAAAAATGCTCTTTCTTGCTGTGAGAGTTCTTATATTTGGGGGATCAGCTCTTTTTCTAAGTGATTATCCAGGTGTCACGACACTATTTATTAAAAAGTCCATCTTGTCCTCACATATGTGATATGCTACCTCAACTAGAATTGATGTTTCCATAGGCAGTTGGATTTATGTTGACACTTTCCTTTCTGTTGTATCAGTCTGGCTGTTTATTCGTCTGCCATGTTTTGATACGGAGAACTGCTAATCACTTCTCTCTTGGTTATTCTTTCTAAGGGGCTTATCAGTAATTTTGCATCTATTTTATATTTATACATGGGTTTTAGAGCCAACTTGCTTAATTCCAGGAAAAAAAAATCTCATTTCTATATGTGTTTTTTTGGAAAAATCACATTACACTTCTATTACTCAGAAGGATACTTGGTATCTTTTTGTTGAGTCATCCTGATGAAAAGCAAGGGCTGTCTATTTGTTCGACCTCACTTTTGTCTTTCAGGAGTGTTTGTAATGTTCCTCATGTAGGTTTTGTACATTACTGTTAATGTACAAAATGTTTTTCAGTTTTTGTTGATGTTTTTCCTGTCCTTACATCTTCTGACTGCTTATTATTTATATACATTATGGCTATAGATTTTTGTATAATTTTGTATCTTTCTAACTTACTGAATTACTTTATTTATGATAGTTTTATCACTGATACCAATATTCCAAGAAAAGTATTATACCATGTGAAAATACTCTCTTCAATTATTTTCTCTTGTTTCATTGCATTAGCTAATAAATCCAATTCTGTGTTGAATAGTTCAATAGAATAGTAGGAATTCTTCCCTTGTTCTGGATCTTGGTGGAAATGCTTCTGGTGTTTACCTAGTAAGTCACTGACTGGTGTTAGAAATGAGGTAAATTTATTTTTATCAATTTGAAGAAAAATCCATGGTTTTCTATTTTACAAAGTGTTTTTTATCAGAAATGAGTTTTGAATTTCGTTGAATTTTTTTCAGTATCTATGTGAATAGTCAAATTTTCTAAAGATTTTTTTAAAAATGGTGGTCATACTAATGGATTTCTTGATATTGAATCACTCTTGCTTTCATGTAGTAAGTCTTACTCGGTCAAGATATATTATTTTTTTAGTATGCTATTGGAGTCTATTTCCTAATATCTCGTTTAAGATTTTTTTTGTCCCAATATTTCAAAGTGAGATTGGTCTGTGTTTTTTCTTTACTATGCTATTTTATCAGGCTTATGTATCTATACCATATTTCCTTTGTAATAAAATTTTTTAAAGTGTCTTGTCTATGCTTGGAAAAATTAAAGTAGCATTGGATTATCTAGTCTTTGAAGGTTTGTCTGAATTCCTCTGTGAAACCATCTGTACATGGTAATTTTTAAGGGCTAGTTCCCCATTTTCTTCTATGAAAATTGATCCAAGTTTTTTGTTTTTGTTTTTTTAAGAAATCTTTATATGGGTTTACAATAAAAGAAAAATGGCCCCTAAATGTCTCCATGCCCCAATTCCCTGGGACCGGTGACTATGTTATGTTGCATGGGAAAAGGGAGGGTGCCAGTCTGATTAAGGGTAAGGACTTGAGATGGGAAGATTACCCTAGACTATTTAATCTTTTGAGAACTTAAAAATGCATAACTTTTTTTTTTTTTTATGCTGCATCAGAGAGATACATTGTGAGAGGGACTTGACCTGCACCCACTTTAGCTGGCTTTGAAGATTGAGTGAGGGACCATCAGCCAAGGCTTGTGGTGGCTTCTAGGAGCAGGGAACGACCCTCAACTGACAGCTGGTAAGAAAATAGCCACAAGGAAACAAATCCTGGCAACACACGAATGAGCAGGAAGGAAATTCTCTAGAACCTCCAGAAAAGGAAGCAGACTGCTGACACCTTGATTTTTGTTCAGGGAGACCGACATTGTATTTCTGACCTTCAGAAATATAAAATAATAAATTTTTGTCAAGACACTAAGTTTGCCAAAGGAATAAATAAATAAATAGATTATTGCTTTAAAAAAATTGTGTTAAGACACTAAGTTTGTGGTGACTTTTTATGGCAGCAATAGAAAACAGGGTCAAATTTGATAAATGTATTTTATAGGAAAAGGACTATTTTAGCTAGGTTTTCAAATTTATTTTCATAGAATTATACAACATGGAGTCATAATTTTCAAAGTTTTATCTATTTATTTCCCCTTGGTTATTTATTATTTTGTGTATTTGTACTTACTCTCATTTTCTTCAATGAAGTTATAGATAATTTTTGTTTATGGCTACTTTCAGGTAATCTGAATCAGCAGTCTTGGATGAGAAGGCTAAAGGCCGTATCTTACCTGATCTTTGCCACTAGACTGGCCCCATTAGCTCCGTGATGGTTTTGAGAAGACAGGGCCAATCTTACCTCCTGCTAAATCTGCCTCTTATAATTCTCTTTTTAAAAAAATTAAAAAAAATGTTTATGGGAGTATAGTTGATTTACAATGTTGTGTTATTTTCAGGTGTACAACAAAGTGAATCAGTTATACATACGTATTCCACTCTTTTTTAGATTCTTTTCCCATATAGGCCATTACAGAATATTGAGTAGAGTTTCCTGTGCTATACAGAAGGTTCTTATTAGTTATCTATTTTATATATAGTAGTGTGTATATGTCAGTCTCAGTCCCCCAATTTATCCCTCCCCCCACCCTTATAATTTCTCTTGCAGGAATGCTAAACTTGGCAAGGAAAAGCCAAGTCTCACAAATATTCTGATTTTTCCCCCAGTTAGCCTCACTCACGGTCTCTATCTGCGTGTGATTTGGACCCTATGGAGGGTTTGCTCTGTCTGCGTGGTTGCACATGGCTCACTCTGCTCCTTACGTGCTCCAGGCCTGAGGGTTGCACACGTCACCTCTGCTCACGTCCAGCTGGGCAGAACTTAGACAAATCTTACATTCCTGTTCTCCTACTGGGAAGGGAGGCCTGGATGTGGTGTTTATTCTCAGTACCGATTGGTTCAGCTAAAACACAGACATAATCTCATAATGGCAGAAGAGGAGAATGTATAATGAGGCCAACTGTTGGCATATGCCATGTCCTTTATCTCATGATTGTTTTCTTATTTCTTTCCCATTAAAACTAAGGATATTTCTTTGCACTTAAATGCTTAATAATTTCCCCTACACTAAGTAGTATTTATATTGAGAGAAAGTTAGTTTATTCTTTCTATAGTTAAGTTTTTTTCCTACAATGAAACTAGCCCTTTCATCATGTATTATTATCTTTTTTGTGGTACGCGGGCTACGCCAGCTTTCTTTTGGTTTCCATTTGCATGAAATATCTTTTTCCATCCCCTCACTTTCAGTCTGTATGTGTCTCTAGGTCTGAAGTGGGTCTCTTGTAGACAGCAAATATATGGGTCTTGTTTTTGTATCCATTCAGCCAATCTGTGTCTTTTGGTGGGAGCATTTAGTCCATTTACATTTAAGGTAATTATCGATATGTATGTTCCTATTCCCATTTTCTTAATTGTTTTGGGTTCGTTATTGTAGGTCTTTTCCTTCTCTTGTGTTTCTTGCCTAGAGAAGTTCCTTTAGCAGTTGTTGTAAAGCTGGTTTGGTGGTGAACTCTCTCAGCTTTTGCTTGTCTGTAAAGGTTTTAATTTCTCCATCAAATCTGAATGAGATCCTTGCTGGGTAGAGTAATCTTGGTTGCAGGTTTTTCTCCTTCATCGCTTTAAATATGTCCTGCCAGTCCCTTCTGGCTTGCAGAGTTTCTACTGAAAGATCAGCTATTAACCTTACGAGGATTCCCTTGTGTGTTATTTGTTGTTTTTCCCTTGCTGCTTTTAATATGTTTTCTTTGTATTTAATTTTTGACAGTTTGATTAATATGTGTCTTGGTGTATTTCTCCTTGGATTTATCCTGTATGGGACTCTCTGTGCTTCCTGGACTTGATTAACTATTTCCTTTCCCATATTAGGGAAGTTTTCAACTATAATCTCTTCAAATATTTTCTCAGTCCCTTTCTTTTTCTCTTCTTCTTCTGGAACCCCTATAATTCAAATGTTGGCGCATTTGATGTTGTCCCAGAGGTCTCTGAGACTGTCCTCAGTTCTTTTCATTCTTTTTTCTTTATTCTGCTCTGCAGTAGTTATTTCCACTATTTTATCTTCCAAGTCACTTATCTGTTCTTCTGCCTTAGTTATTCTGCTATTGATCCCATCTAGAGTATTTTTAATTTCATTTATTGTGTTGTTCATCATTGTTTGTTTCATTTTTAGTTCTTCTAGGTCCTTGTTAAATGTTTCTTGCATTTTGTCTATTCTATTTCCAAGATTTTGGATCATCTTTACTATCATTATTCTGAATTCTTTTTCAGGTAGACTGCCTATTTCCTCTTCATTTGTTAGGTCTGGTGGGTTTTTATCATGCTCCTTCATCTGCTGTGTGTTTTTCTATCTTCTCATTTTGCTTATCTTACTGTGTTTGGGGTCTCCTTTTTGCAGGCTGCAGGTTCGTAGTTCCCACTGTTTTTGGTGTCTGTCCCCAGTGGCTAAGGTTGGTTCAGTGGGTTGTGTAGGCTTCATGGTGGAGGGGACTAGTGCCTGTGTTCTGGTGGATGAGGCTGGATCTTGTCTTTCTGGTGGGCAGGTCCACGTCTGGTGGTGTGTTTTGGGGTGTCTGTGGACTTATTATGATTTTAGGCAGCCTCTCTGCTAATGCATGGGGTTGTGTTCCTGTCTTGCTAGTTGTTTGGCATAGGATGTCCAGCACTGTAGCTTGCTGGTCGTTGAGTGAAGCTGGGTGCTGGTGTTGAGATGGAGATCTCTGGGAGATTTTCGCCATTTGATATCATGTGGAGCTGGGAGGTCTCTTGTGGACCAGTGTCCTGAAGTTGGCTCTCCCTCCTCAGAGGCACAGCACTGACTCCTGGCTGCTGTACCAAGAGCCTTTCATCCACACGGCTCAGAATAAAAGGGAGAAAAAGTAGAAAGAAAGAATTAGTAGAAGTAGAAAGAGAGAAAGAAAGAAAGAAAGGAGGGAGGGAGGAAAGAAGGAAGGAGGGACGGGAGGAAAAAAGAAAGGAGATAAAGTAAAATAAAGTAAGATAAAATATAATAAAGTTATTAAAATAAAAAATAATTAGAGAAAAAAAAGAAAAAAATTAAAAAAAAAATGGACAGATAGAACCGTAGGACAAATGGTGGAAGCAAAGCTATACAGACAAAATCTCACACAGAAGCATACACATACACACTCACAAAAAGAGGAAAAGGGGAAAAAATCATAAATCTGGCTCTCAACGTCCACCTCCTCAATTTGGGATGATTCGTTGTCTATTCATGTATTCCACAGATGCAGGGTACATCAAGTTGATTGTGGAGATTTAATCCGCTGCTCCTGAGGCTGCTGGGAGAGATTTCCCTTTCTCTTCTTTGTTCGCACAGCTCCCAGGGGCTCAGCTTTGGATTTGGCCCCGCCTCTGCGTGTATGTCACCGGAGGGCGTCTGTTCTTCGCTCAGACAGGACGGGGTTAAAGGAGCCGCTGATTCAGGGGCTCTGGCTCACTCAGGCCGGGGGGGTGGGGGGGGGAGGGGCATGGAGGGCGGGGCGGGCCTGCGGCGGCAGAGGCCGGCGTGACGTTGCAGCAGCCTGAGGCGCGCCGTGCGTTCTCCCGGAGGAGTTGACCCTGGATCCCGGGACCCTGGCAGTGGCGGGTTGCACAGGCTCCCCGGAAGTGGGGTGTGGAGAGTGACCTGTGCTCGCACACAGGCTTCTTGGTGGCGGCAGCAGCAGCCTTGGCGTCTCATGCCCGTCTCTGGGGTCCGCGCTTTTAGCCGCGGCTCGCGTCCGTCTCTGGAGCTCCTTGAAGCAGCGCTCTTAATCCCCTCTCCTCGCGCACCAGGAAACAAAGAGGTAAGAAAAAGTCTCTTGCCTCTTCGGCAGGTTCAGACTTTTCCCCGGACTCCCTCCCGTCTAGCTGTGGCGCACTAACCCCTTCAGGCTGTGTTCACGCTGCCAACCCCAGTCCTCTCCCTGCGCTCCGACCGAAGCCCGAGCCTCAGCTCCCAGCCCCGCCCACCGCGGGGGTGGGGGGAGCAGACAAGCCTCTCGGGCTTGTGAGTGCCGGTCGGCCCTGATCCTCTGTGCGGGAATCTCCCCGCTTTGCCTTCCGCACCCCTGTGGCTGCGCTGTTCTCTGTGGCTGCGCTCTCCGCCGCAGAGCTGAAGCTTTCCCCCTCCGCCACCCGCAGTCTCTGCCCGCGAAGGGGCTTCCTAGTGTGTGGGAACCTTTCCTCCTTCACAGCTCCCTCCCACTGGTGCAGGTCTCGTCCCTATTCTTTTGTCTCTGTTTATTCTTTTTTCTTTTGCCCTACCCAGGTACATGGGGGGTTTCTTGCCTTTTGGGAGTTTTGAGGTCTTCTGCTAGCTTTCAGTAGTTGTTCTTTAGGAGTTGTTCCACGTGTAGATGTATTTCTGGTGTATCTGTGGGGAGGAAGGTGATCTCCGCGTCTTACTCTTCCGCCATCTTCCCGGAAGCCCGATCATGTATTTTATAGCTAATAATGATCATGGTTTTAAAAAAATCAGCCAATGAGAGAGAAGGGAAATATCCCAGGTTTCTGCACATTGAGAAAAAATGTCATTAACTTTTTTTTTTTTTAAGATGTTGGGAGTAGGAGTTTATTTATTTTTGCTGTGCTGGGTCTTTGTTTCTGTGCGAGGGCTTTCTCTAGTTGTGGCAAGTGGGGGCCACTCTTCATCGCGGTGTGCGCGGGCCTCTCACTATCGCGGCCTCTCCTGTTGCGGAGCACAGGCTCCAGATGCGTAGGCTCAGTAGTTGTGG